AAGCTAAATAGGATTTTGATCTAAGAAAGTTATAAATGGATTAAATGTCCAGATAAATTTGGAATATTGACTTTTACTATAAGATTTTTGAATTCACTATAAAAAATAAACAGCTTCTCCTGGGAAACAGACTTATTTTGGTTATCCCGGCAATTGCAAGTCATAACAAAAGAAGTGATGATTTTAGAAACTGGACACCAGAGGAGACTAAAGATTTTAAGCAGAAGAAAAAAAAAATACAAGCCTGATGTCAGTTAAGGATTTACAATCTGATATAAAATGTTATCACATTGGAAACATTAAAGGAGATCTTTGAAGAATGGAGCCAGAAGTTAGTAACTGCAATATCAACACTGTCAATAATATTGTCTGCTTCTATGGATAGACTATGTCCAAAAGATGTAAATGAAGGGATGACAGATGGAGAACAAATTGTATCTGACAAGACAGAAAAAGTACCAAAAGTGGAACTACAAATGACAGGCCAAGAGAATGTTTTGGAAAAGGACACTTTACTAAATATACAAAAGAAACTGCCTGAAGTTTTAAAATTAAAAGGGAAATACAAATGATAAACCAAGAGAATGACCTGGAATATGTTTTCTTATTTGATCTACAAAAAAGGCGTGTTAAAGCCTTGAAGAAACCTGTGCAATGGGATAAAGAAGAATTGAACAGAAATCAAATCCTACAACAATCTTTGATTGAATTAAAGATTAAGACTGTTAGAACTAAACAGAAGGACTATAATGTTGGTTTATTTGATCAAGGCTAAAGTAAGACTTTTTTTTTGCAATGTTCTGGCAAACCTTTATGGACTTCTTGCTGACACTAAGATTGAAAAGTTGATCTTTTATGGATTTGCTTATAGATAAGGGATGGCATATGGACGGGAAGCTGTGGGGGTCTGGATGGGTACAACAGGCTTCAGCTGAACCCTGGTAAAACTGAGTGGCTGTGGATTGGTTGCCCCTCTGCATCTGAGGATTTACAATCTTTGGTTTTGGATGGGGTTGCACTGCCCCAGACAGATCCGGTGCAAATCTGGAGGACCTCTTGGACTCATTTTTCCTGCTTGAGGAGCAAGTGGCAGTTGTAGCCAGGAGGGCTTTTGCTCAACTTCATGTGGTGCACCAGTTACTCCATTTCCTGGATTGGGAGGTCCTCTGGTCAGTCACTCACACCCTGGTCATCTCTCGTTTAGACTACTGCAATGCGATCTACATGAGGCTACTCTTGAAGATTATCCAGAAGCTACAGCTGGCTCAAAATGCAGCTGTGCGGACAATCTTGGGTGCCCCAAGGATGGCACATATAACACCTTTGCTGCGGGAGCTGCATTGGGTCCCAGTTTGCTTCTGGGTCCAATTCAAGATGTTGGTTATTATCTTTCAAGCCCTACATGGCATGAGTCCAGGTTACCTGAGGGACCATCTCACCCCCATGACATCGACCTGTCCCACCTGGTCAGGCAGAGAAGGTATGTTGCAGACCCCAGAGGTGCAGTGGGCCCCTACCTTCTCAGCTTTCTGGAAAGAACTGAAGACCTGGTTCTGCCAGTTTGTGTGGGGCAAGCTTTAACCAACCCTGGGGGTGGCTGGCAGCCTGATGACATTCCCCAAGCCTAATAATTTCTAGCTACCATCACTTATTGGAAGATATTTATTATTTATTTAGGACTAATTGTTATATTGTATTTTTAATTAATATTTATCTTATCTTCAATCACCCAGAGTCGTTTTCTAATGAGATGGGCAGTGACAATTTATATATATTGGCATTGGGACAACACCAGAGGCTCAAAACACCAGTTACTCATAAATAGGGCAGTCCCCCGAGACTCAAGGTCTAGGCAGACCAATCTGAG